ACAGGGCTTCCCGTCCGCTCAGCCGTACTTAAGCCACACGCCGGCCGGTTAGTAGTTGGGTGGGTGACCACCAGCGAATCCCGGCTGTTGTATGTTTTTGTTTTTGCTGAACGCTCGAGTAAAGCGAGTGAGGCGGGATGAGATTCGGTAGAGAAAACTGTTCATGTTATGATATCGATCGGTGCATTGTTGCCAGCTATACCCTATGTTTGATGCGGTATACCCCAAGGGTTGCGCAAGTACTTTGCAGTGAGAAAGAATAACTCGAAGTCCATTTCTTAAAAAAGCGTCTGGGAGAGTATATTAATGTACTCATGTTTACTCCAAGTGACTCCAACTGATTCCCTGGAACGACTTTCTCTACTCTGGCCACTGGCTCCACGCGGGGAAATTCAACCCTTCAACGCCTCATTACAGCCTAGAAATGGCAAGTACGCAAATATCCACAGTTGGCGTCACAAATGCGCGGCCTGTCCATGTCGGTCCGTGATCTTTGCCGTTGTACACACAGTACATGTCTCCAGTCTTAGTACATGAGGTAAGTCAAGGACTTGCCATGTTGGTCAACTCCATAGCAAGAGGGGATTGTTCCAGGCACAGAATTGACTTTGCCTAACTGTACTATGCTGAGCATTACACACCTGCGATAGGCTCTGCTCATACAATCCGTCCTAAGTGAAAGGAACAGTAAATGATGAACTGCTAGTTTCAAGCATATAGCATGACCCAAATTAAACTGCAAAGTCAGTTCAGACTTTCAACTATTGAGTAATGGAAATTAAGCAGTTTCATGAGAAACAGGATGAGATCAAAGTCTATCTAGGCCCTCAGCTCTACCTAAGATCCACCCCGGACAATTGGGGTTTGGATCCTCACTCGCAAGTTTATTATTAGTGAGGTGGGACGTCAGAGACCAACAATCTCACGGTGTCTCAGTAGTATCTGTATATCCCTGGCAAGTCGGCGATATTCGGAGCGTAGGCTGACTTTTCAGCCTAGTCTACCCTCCCTGCTACCCTTCGCTATATCAACTCGGAGAATAGAAGATAAAAACTCGAAATATATCTTCGCGACAGTACATGCAATTATTATTATTATCATTATTAGTTCTATACTCCCCGTCACCTTAGCGGTATGGGGTGCTGCTGCTAAATACATAAGGGGAAAACCTTGGCGTCGCTAGGCAAGCACCGGGATGAGAAACCCCCTGCTCCAGCACTGTATCTCACTGTCTCCTGGATGTCCCCTAGTACCATTGTAAAGAGGCCTGCCTGGGCAGGGCTTACCGTGTGTTTGATCACGTCACTATGTCCGCAACTCGTTTTCTATCTCCTCCGCTTCCAAAAACCGTCCCCTCTGATTGAATTTGTTGGTTACCACCGTGGGCGAGTGTCCAATAACCTCAAATGTGATTACCGGCATGCGCTTTTGAGCATCCGATGACTTCTCGCCAAAGATACGAAACACTTGAGGTCGGCGTCTGAGATGAGCTAAGAAGACGTCCTGTAGAACGGTCTCTTGGGCAATAACATTGTCCCAACCCACTTGCTTCAGGTATCGGGTAATGGGCACCAAAGCTTCCTCAAGTTCGAAGGAGTTGGTACCTAGACGCAAACGCCAATCCAGACTCGGAATCCCGCCGAGAAAATAGTGACTTATGCCCGTAAGTACACGATTCTGAGCGCTACGCCAGCCGTATAGCTGTGCGATATGTGGCCCAAAGACCTTGTATCAACTAAAGCAGTAGAAATACACGTCCAGGGCCTTGACGTCGATGGGTCGGTGCGGGGCCCATGCCACTCCGTCGACAACGAGGAAGGTGCCAGGAATACTATGAACCAGGTCTGCAACTTGGCGAATTGGATGGATGGTACCGATAACGTTTGAGACGTGATTGCAGGTCACGAGTCGGGTTTTGGGTGTCAAGAGTGGCCTCAATGTCTCTAGTGATAGAACTGGGTCGTAGCCTGGCGGTGGTGCCCACCATTTGATGGCGATGTTCAGATCCTTGGCGAGGGCAACCCATGCTGCGGCACTACCTTCGTGACACAGGTTTGAAACGACAATTTCGCAATCAGAATTGAGTAAGGATTTCAGTGCCTGGCCAAGAGAGCGGAGTAAGAAGGTAGTTGTTTGGCCGAAGGCTACGAGAATTAGATATCCGCACTTAGGAATGGGAAATGGAGGATTTAGATAATGTGATATAGAAGCACTCACCTATTTCATCGGGTTCGGCATTCATGAATGCTGCGAGTTCAGCGAATTTGTCTTCATGTTGCTGCGTCTTCGCGGCACTTGTCGGATCATCATGAACCAGCTCATAGGGGAATGAGGTCATATATCGATGTGTGCTTTCGGCAGCCTCTCGATGCAACACTGTTCCTAATAACCCCGTCCCTGACACGTGAGAGGTATGCACATGACCAGGCCGTCACACATGTCAGAGATCCACTTGGTGACAACGGCTTTGTTAGTTAACTAGTTAACTAAGTTTTATTAAGCTATTAATCCGAATCAGCGGACCTGCAGGCGGTGTGCCAAGGCATAGCCGTTCCTGGTATATCCTGTGGGAGGTTTTCAGTACGGCCGAGCGGACGGGAAGCCCTATGGTCGTATGTACTGTATGTACTGACCATTCATTTGGAAAGGCTTATATACTAGAAATTGAGAGGATATTAATACAGTGGTCGGGCTCCTCCCAATTTGGTAATATTGTGAGCAAATCCTGCGGAGCTATACCACAATATGTTCCCGACAGTGACGATCGTATAAGCTTATATTAAACTAAGGATATATAATTGTGTGTATTCCGGAGCAGCATCTATACTCTGTATGCCCATAAACTACGTAATAGTGTAAACTAGACCAACAAGCTCGATTTAAGACTAGGTGGCTACTTTTCCAAACATACTTCAAACTGGTAAGGGCCCAATTCATATTTCTCTTCTCAACCATATCCAAGTCTAATTCATACTAGCCTCAACTCGACCAGGAAGACCAGAAATAACCGCAATCATGGATCACATGAGGAAAGATGAGCTGTCCGATATGGACAAATTGGAATCCTTAAGAATGTGAAAGTCTTCATATTCTATGAGCTCCAGCCCTCCATTCATCTAGACAATTTGATTTCCTCCATGGTGGAAGGGGTGAGGAACGCAACCCACCAATTGCCATTCATGGCAGGGAATTTCCAAGTTGATGACTCCAGCAAGCTCTGCATTATAACACCCCCAGGAAGCCATATAGAAGTGAATATCCGCCGAACCGAGTCTATGGAGCACAAATCTTTTCCCGCCTCGGCTAAAAACTCATTTTCTCCCAATGATCTGGACCTTACCCAGCTATTGCCCGAAGAGCAAACGGCTGAGAACCCGGTCTGCGCTCTGCAATTAAGTCTCGTTGAGCATGGCATGATCCTAGGATTCAGAATAAATCACGCTGCTGGGGACTGGTCGTCCATTGATACATTCCTGTCTCTTATCTGTCAAAGTAGCAAGGCACATCATGAAGGCCTGAAAATGCCCACCTACACCCCAGACCTCAACAGAGCTCCATACAATGCTCCAGCGACCGACCCGGCTATCTCAAGACAAGACCTGCTAGAAAGGCTCCCAACGTTTTACATTATGGAGAAGAGTCAATTCAAACCAAAGCCATCACCGCCTTCCCAATCAAATATCTACAAGATCTCTGAGCCATCTGTCCAACAGCTCAAAGCACATTGCGCCCCGTATCTGAGCGAGATAGACTACGTGACATCGTACGACTGCATCTTTGTCCTCATCTGGACATCAATCACGCGTGTCCGGCTCCATCTTCACCCAGAGAAAGCCACCTCACTATCGCGCTTCGTCCACCCCATCGATGTTCGCACCCGAGACCCGGAGAACAAAACCTCTGAACGATACTTCGGTAATGCCGTCATTGGATCCCAAGCAGATCCTCTGACTGCTCAAGCCCTAGTATCAGACGGAGACCGAGGTCTCGCAACTGCAGCCACCCTAATCCGCCAATCCATAAACCCTATCAGCCTGTCCTCGATCAACCACATGACCTCCCTCATTGCATCCCTCTCTCCAACGGAGACACTAGCCCCCCCGCGCAGACTTCACTGACATGGACATGTTCATGAACACCTGGTACTCGGGGAGCGCAGAAAAGTATGATATCGGGGCTGCTTCGCTTCCTGTTGCGTTTCGGACGCATTCATCTATGGCAGGAGCTTGCATGGTAATTTTACCGAATTTCTCACGAGGAGCAACGAGGTTCTTCGAAGTTCTTGTACATTTGGCGGTTGAGGAGCATGTCACACTCATCATCATCGCCGAAAAGTCCCCATGTATTCCCTGGAGAGCCTTTTTTGCACAGAGGCAGGTCGTCAAATGCAGGGAGTTCAGCCATTCTGTTCAACAAGCAAAGGACTTTGCGATATGTTGGTGCGATTGGACCTGGCTATGGGCAGATTGGTTTTTACAAAGTCCCAGGATTTACGACCAAATCCTCAACCCCTCTTGTATTAGTACTACAAATCCTAAAATGAGGGAAAGTTATGACGCGTGACTTCACAATACCGCAGCTTTTCGAATTCCTGTTCTTGCAGGAGAAGTTTCCGAGAATTGGTGGGTTGGTTGAAGGGATCCAGCTTTTCCGACAATATGGAGGAGCCCCTGTATACCAACAAAAAGTTTGCAGCTCAGAGAGGTTTAAATGTGACCCATGTAACTTCTTTCTTTTTATTTTGACTGAATTCCTATCTACCTGACTTCATATCCAAAATGGCTATCAAAATCCACTCCGCACATTCGGAAGAAATATCAGCCTGTTCTATTGCGGAGTTTTGCGGGGGCATGGTGATTAGGTGACCGGCTGGGGTAACTAACTATAAATTAAGCACATCATGACCTCCAGCATCATTCACGTATACGCTGTAATACACCACCATGGATCCCATAATAACCTCCCGAAAGGTTGCCCTTTCCACTAAGAACAATCCGCTCTCTGTCAACATTCTGGAAGCCAACTACTCTCCCGCTCGAGATCGACCGCTCATCGTCCTCCTTCACGGCTTCCCGGAACTCGGCTACTCCTGGCGCAAAGTCATCCCCCCTCTCGCCCATGCCGGATATTATGTAGTCGCCCCTGACTGTCGCGGCTTCGGCCGTACCACAGGCCACGATGACCGCTCCTATGAGAAGGTGGATCTATCAACCTTTTCCGTTACTACTCTTGTCCGGGACGTTGTCCTCCTAGTGCACGCGCTGGGCTACCGATCCGTCCGCTGCGTGGTTGGCCACGATGCTGGAGCCGTCACAGCAGCTATGTGTGCTCTCATTAGGCCGGACTTTTTCCAGAGCGTCGTCATCCTCAGCCATCCGTTTAACGGGGCTCCGGAGGCACCATTTAACACCGCGAATGACTCAGGAAAAGAACAAGCCGGAGTCAAAGGAGGCGCTGAATCTTCCGCAGGCGATGTACACAGTGCTCTTGCCTCCCACAACCGCAAACACTATAAATGGTATTATTCCACTGCTCCCGCGAACGATGAGATGAGTCATCCCCCGCAGGGCCTACACGAGTTCCTGCGTGGTTATTTCTATCTCAAAAGCGGATCGTGGAAGGGGAACAAGCCATTTCCATTGCGCGAATGGTCAGCTACTGAACTTGCCCAACTGCCGGGCTATTACATCATGCCGTTGGACAAGACGATGCCGGAGACCGTGGCGGATACTATGTCACGGGAGCCCAAGGAGGATGTCCAGCATTCACACGATTGGCTGTCTGATGAGGAATTGGCAGTTTATGTGGCTGAGTATGAGCGGACTGGGTTTCAGGGAGGTCTCAATTGGTATCGCGTGCGGACGGCCAAGGACGGGAAGTACACGGGAGACTACGAAGTGTTTGCAGGGAAGAAGATTGAGATTCCGTGTTCCTTTGTGTCTGGGAAGTTGGATTGGGGCATTTATCAAGAGCCAGGGGCCTTGGAGAGGATGAGGGATGGGACTGTATGTAAAGACTTCCGTGCGATGAGATTGATTGATGGTGTTGGCCACTGGGCGCCACAGGAGAGTCCTGGGGTGGTGGTAAATGTTATTTTAGAGTTGGTGAGGGGTTTGTAAGTATAACAAGGATAGTTTTTCGTCCATGTATATATTGTCAAGCTGTTGAATAGATATTCTTCCTCAAAGCCAAACATTTCTTCACATTCTCGTTTGCCAAGAGGCAATGCCTGCTTTAGATAGAATCCTCGATGGGGAACTTTGAGGATTTCTATTGTCATTCCAAGGACTCATCGGCTTCTCTTTTAGATATGGGGGAAAACAGTCTCATAGTATCACTTCCTCCCCTTTCCAATCAAAACATAACCCTCTCCTCTCTATCGGTACCCCCTCCGCAAGAACCCCTGATAGCTTCTCTGCCGCCTCGCTCGGGTCCAAGATTTCCCTCCCACCCCAATAATCCTTCGTAAAATCTGTCCTTACAATCCCAGGATGTAAAGCAACCGTCAACGCCCTACCCCGACTGCGTGTGCAGAGATGCAGATCGAACGTCTTCGCCAGTTGAAACACCGATGCTTTACTTGCCCGATAGGAATACCAACCTCCGGGGGAATTGTCCGAAATGGATCCCACCCGAGCGGCCATCATAGCATAGATGGCGTGGGAAGGGAGGTTCAATCCACCCCCCCTTGTCTCCTCGAAGGGGGATGATGATTTAGTTGGCAGGAATGATGCTAGATCTTTCATTAGGAGTAATGTGCCGAGGGAATTGACTTGGAAGCTTTGTAATGCATTGGCTACGTCAATTTGAGAGGGTGACTTCTCGACGTGTAGAATGCCCGGCAGCGTTAGTGCCAAATGTAGTTGCATGTTTGGATAAACATGGCGAATATGAGATGCCATGGAGGAGATGGAAGATTCGTCTGCCACCGGCATTCGTTATGTGAGTCAATTAGTTATATGAAAAACATGAAATACCAGTCACATCAACTCGCAGAACTTGCAATCTTTCCTTGGAATTGATCCCCATCAAAAGTCGGTCGTGGACTTCGTCACAGTTCCGTCGTGCAGTTGCCACGACAGGAAGATTGGAATTTGCTAGGAGATACCGCGCAAAGGCAAATACTAGTCCTCGAGAGGCTGCAGTGACGATACAGAAACCAGAAGATGCCATGATACATATATCTTTGTGAAAGTGATGGGTGCAAATAGATTCAACAAGGGTTGCAGCTTAGCTGTATCCATGACGTTATATCCCGCGGCAACCAAAGGAAAACAAACAATGCATGAAACCGTTTCCTGCTTTTTCTCTTGAAGGATTAGTTGTTGTTTCGGGCGTTTAATGCAGTGAACGATATTACGAATTATGAGAAGTCAACGAAGGAGTTTTTCGAGAGGGTGTTGCTCGGAACGCCTTTTCCGAGAGTGACGGGAGATTATGGGTTTGTTAGGGTTTCGCAAAAGGCATCCGTATCAGAAGTATTATGAGAGTGAATAGACTACCAGTAGAATATATCAGACGGTGAATATATCTATGAGTTATGCCTAGCTAAGCGTAACATCGCCCGACGAATAAAGGGAAAGAAGACTCTAGATATAGAGGTCTTCTATATAACCTACCGCTATTATTAGGTTTATTTGAGATTTTTTCGTTATAGAAGTATAATTATTCAATTTTCTATAGTTTATCTTTAGTCCGCTATTACTAGGACTCGACTAGGCGTACTACTTCTATAGAAAACTTCCCTACTTAATGAGTCGTCCTTAGGTAAACGCAAACGGGGTTAGGCTTTCTAGAGTGACCTTCCTAAATACGTTTCGGTACAACAGCCCTCAGCGGGTCGATTCTTTCTTTGTGTGGGGTGGGGGTTCAAGTCTTGTATTGAATGACTAAAAAACTAACGGTGGCTGTTATGAATATAAAGAATGAAACACTAGTAAATAATAGTCATGGCGATGGCTCAACCGGCGCTCAATGGGCATACTCTCTCATTCCCGGATTCATCTCTATCCCCTTTGGCTTCCTCCTGCAGGCCATACCTACTGTCGTTGTCGAAAAGCCAATGGTGCCGACACCGTCGTTAATTTCTTTCTTTCTTTCTTTCTTTCTTTCTTTTTTTTTGTTTATTATTTGTTCGAGCGTCTTCGAATCCTGCATGGCCAGCCAGATGGAACAGCTGTGAACTGGCTCTTGAATACCCATTCCCTTTTAGCGTCCACTTGCTCAATATCATAGTCTCTGATTAAGGTGGCTGCTAGTTTGGAGAGTTCGAATTGGGCGAGGTTACGTCCGGGGCATTGGTTGTATCCGGCTCCCCACTGTAAAGGTTTGTCAGTGCTAGTTGCAAATTGAGAAGATATTAACACATAGTTACATGAATCAAGAATAAATTAATCTTTTCGGTTTCTTTCTGAAGCCAGCGGTCAGGTTTGAAGCTATCGCAGTCCTCGCCAAAGAGCTTGGGGTTCCGATGGAAGACCCAGGTATTGATACTCAGGATAATCTAGAATCCTTGGTCAGTATTGCTTAACATTGTACCGCATTGTGGGGAGTATTTTTTGGGGGTATCATACCCCTTCTGGGAAGTATCTGCCTGCAATAACCATCCCGCCCTGTGGCACGACTCGAGGAAGACCACCAACAACAGCAGAATGGAAACGATAGGTCTCTTTCAGCTATTGACAAGAGTTATTCAACATAACCATCACATCTGTCTCAGCTGGAGTACCTACACAAGCCTGAAGAAACGGCAAATTTTGCGCCTCATTGTACTGAACTATAGTGGAAAGTTCTCCCCGTGCCTGAGCAGCATCAATCTCATCCCGCACCTGCTGCAAATACACTGGATGACGCAACAGGTAATACACCAAAGCCTGAGCAGTAGCCCCAACAGTATCAGCCCCAGCCCCAATATTACCAACAGCCGCCGCGAAAAGTTCACTCTCTGCCATACGATCTGGATATTTAGCTTGAACATCAAGCCAGCGCTGCATCATATCATTCCTTGTTTCAGGATTATTCTTCCTGGCATCGATAGCCATAAGACAAGTATCGAAGATATGAGATGAGGGCTGAATCCCAATGCTACTAAGCAGCGGGTTCCCCAGCGTCAAATTGTGGAACCAGGTATAATGACCCATGACTGCGATATATAGCGCCAGGGCTTTAGTATTTGCAACAGCACCTCTGATATCCGTACCTGTCTCTATGAAACCAAAGGACTTGGAGAATATTACTTCGCCTAAGACGTCGAAGGCAAAGAAGCTGAACCATTTGTCAAAGTCTACTGCTTCACCGGATTTGCTTAGTTCATCTAGGCGGTCTTTGAGTTGTTGCAGGATTGCGTCGACATGCAGTTCAGATTTGATTATGTTTGAGAGTGCGAAACCGGCAGCGATGTTGCGGGATTTTTCGATGTGGCGGCGGGGGTTTAGTTCAGACATTTGGTTGACGTAGCGGTAGTCTGGTAGACTGAAAATTGCGTACCACGGGCCCTTTTGGATAATTGTTAATATCCAAGTACTATAGTTTGAATATGAGAACGTACTTTGGCAATATTGGCATGCAGAAGTTGCTTGACTGCGTCTGGGTGAGAGACACTGACTTCATTTTCTGCGATGCGGACAAAGTATCCTGTCACTCATATTAGAAAGCGTGCATGAGAAAATGCAAATTTGGTGGATCATACCATGTTTATTATGCAAATGAATAAGCTCTTCTTCAATATGCCCCTTCCATAGCTGATAAACCTGCCATAATTTCGAGAACGATGCCAGAAATGGGCCAGGGATATCTCTGATCGGCGTCCAATATCTCCGCACGATGGCGCGCACAACAACCAAGCCAACGAGCACCAGAGCCCAGGGACTGCGTAAGTCCAGCAAGGCTGACACCACAGGCACAGAGACAAGAGCCATTGTAATCGTAGATTTCAGGCTTACACACTTTGCAATTCAGAACGCAACAAAAGAGCAAGAACATAATTTCTGGGGATATGGGCGGGGGTGGGGGGAGGAGCGAATCCTTTGTGGGGCCGTTGCTTGACAGCTCAAACATAACAAGGCTTGACGGACCGGGATTAGTGGCCAAGTAGAACTTATCAAGGATGAAGTTATCGTTCGGAGTTGAGCTAATACGTTTGCAGGTCTCAAGAGTCGGAGACGAGCCGGGTTGTTGGCTCCCTTTTTAAAGGGATTTTTGTTGGATTTGGGAACAGTTCTTGATCTGTTTATCCTGGGTCTCTGTCGACTCTGAACTGGGGAAATGTGAACAGTTTTCGATTCATTATCTTGAGTATGATGGCTTCATCGCAATATACGGCGGCTTTCCCTCTACAGGATAGCTGGCGCATTCAGAACAACCTCTCGAGCTGCTCTGGAGATATGCCTCAACATACCTCCTCCAATGATCGCATTGGAACGTGCGGCCAAAGAATCATACCTCTGAATTGCCACATCACCTCTTATGGCCACCCTCAGCAAGATATGACATTCCAGCCAATGACCAGCACCAAGGAATGCAAGGGAGCGATGCATGCAATGGGCCACCAGCCCAGACCATGACCCTTTAACATCACCATTAGAACAATGGGAGCAACGAACCGCAATCTCTCAGGACAAGCTGGAGATTATACACCCACATGTGACCCTGCCTTGGTGGGCAGGTCTGAAACCCCATATAGCAGAAACCCAGGAAGCTGCTCTCACAACTCACAATGCCATCTTACAAAGTAGAGCTGATATTATTGTGTACACAGATGGCAGCTTGACAGAACAGGGAGTTGGAGCAGCAGTAGTTTCATCTCTGGGGTGTCAAGCAGTTTGCATTGGCTCTCAAGCTACCCACACTGTATATGCAGTGGAATTACAGGGCATAAAGATGGTGCTTACCCAAATATGCAACTCAAGTGGACTGGAATTGCAATGTTCCTATCAGACCTGTACAGCAACCATCTTCACAGACAACCAGATGGTGATACAAGCATGCTCAGCTCCAGGAAGGTCTTCTGGCCAATATATCCTGAGTGATATTGCATGCACTGCATCTCAACTACAGGAATGTGGCTGGGA